AACAAAAAGAAAAAAAAGTATTCAAGATTGCAACCCATGTCTTGGGGCAATACCGAGCCGGCCATCTAGGGTTCCAAATTTATAGTAATAGTTTTACTTCACCCAAAAAAACCCCTCTTTCACTTCCACATCTCTCTCGTCTCTGCTCTCCAACATTTTTCCTCTGAAGAAAGATCATCTAATCTTATCTGATCTACCTTCTCTTCAATCCACCTTCTGGGTCTTCACAGTCCAATCATACACCATCAAATCTGCACAAAAATGGTGTCAATTTCTTCTCTGTAAGTATATCTATCCCCTTCTCTCTCTAATTTCAACGAAACAGTGTCTCGATACGCTTCAAGATTGCCCTTTTGTTATCTCGTTAGTATTCGAGATTGTTATTTGAAGTGGGTTTGAGAGAATTTTATGGGGAAATCTGGAGGTAGGAAAAAGAAGGGTGGTGTGAACCAAACCCAAATTTCAGAATCTAACAACAACAATCCAATCCCAAATGCTAATGGTGGTGTTGATTTGGACTCCTCAATTTACTCTAAAAGAGCCAACGAGCTCAAAGAGGAAGGAAACAAAAGATTTCAGGCCAAAGATTATGTGGGTGCTCTTGAACAATACGATAATGCCCTAAAACTCACTCCCAAAACCTACCCGGATCGAGCTGTGTTTCACAGCAATAGAGCTGCTTGTTTGATGCAAATGAAACCCATAGACTATGAAATTGTGATTGCTGAGTGCTCCATGGCACTTCAGGTTCAACCCCTGTTTGTCCGTGCCCTTCTACGAAGGGCTAGGGCATTTGAGGCGATAGGAAAGTATGAAATGGCAATGCAAGACATGCAGGCATTATTGGGCGCTGATCCGAATCACGGGGATGCTTTGGAGATTGCCCAGAGATTGAGGACAGCGCTCGGGCATCGGCAGGAGGCCCAGCAGGACCTTCAGAGCCGGCCATCTCCAGCAGCTCTTGGGGCCTCTGCGGTTCGTGGAGCACCGGTTTCTGGTCTCGGGCCTTGTTTACCAGCAAGGCCGGTGCCAAAGAAAGCATCAACTTCTGCAGTGGGAGCATCGGTTGTATCACCTAATAATAAGCTAGACAGGTCCCAACCATTTTTACATGCTGAAAATGGTCCGCAGGTCAAAACCCAAATGCCAAAGCTTGTTTTGAAGCCATCAAATGGCTCTACCAAATCCAATCCTACTAAGGATAACCAAAAGGAACAGGCTTCTTCGTCAGTGTCATTGGAGACTGCAATTAGATGGAGGTCATTGAAGCTTGTTTATGATCATGACATAAGGCTTGCCCAAATGCCAGTGAATTGCAATTTTAGAGTGTTGAGGGAGGTTGTAAGCAAACGCTTTCCATCTTCGAAGTCTGTTTTGATTAAATATAAGGATAACGATGGTGATTTGGTGACTATAACGTGTACGGGTGAACTCAGATTGGCAGAGTTGTGTGTTGACAGCATTATTTCAAATGAACCTGAATCAGACATGATGGACTCTGTTGGGATGTTGAGATTGCATATTGTTGAGGTGTGTCCTGAGCAGGAGCCACCTATAGTGGAAGAGGAGGAGCAGGAGAAGCCTCTTGAGAGTGAGGGAATCAAAGGAGATGACAGTGGCTCGCATTCGTCTCTAGGTGATTCAGCTGTGGAAACTGTGGATACTGAGATCAATAAGACGGAGAAGGAAGCTCCAAAGGAAAAACCTGGAATGTCAGAAGACCAAGAGAGCAAGGAAGTGGAGATGGATGACTGGTTATTTGAGTTTGCGCAGTTATTCCGGACCCATGTTGGTATTGATCCAGATGCACATATTGATCTACATGAGCTCGGGATGGAGCTGTGTTCGGAAGCCCTTGAAGAGACAGTAACCAGTGAAGAGGCTCAAAGCCTTTTTGATAAGGCTGCCTTAAAGTTTCAGGAGGTGGCTGCTCTGGCTTTCTTCAATTGGGGAAATGTGCATATGTGTGCTGCGAGGAAACGGATTCCAATTGATGACTCTGCAGAAAAAGAGTTGGTGGCAGCAAAGCTTCAAGCAGCTTATGATTGGGTGAGCGAAAAATATTCTCTGGCCAGAGAGAAGTATGAGGAGGCGCTCTTGATTAAACCGGACTTTTACGAGGGGTTACTTGCATTGGGGCAGCAGCAATTTGAAATGGCTAAACTTCATTGGTCGTATGTACTTGCTAAGAAAGAAGATCTCTCGAAATGGGATTCTACTGAAACAATCAAACTTTTTGATAGTGCAGAGGAGAAAATGAAATCTGCGACTGTGATGTGGGAGAAGCTTGAGGAGCAGAGAGAAAATGAGCTAAAAGATCCAAGTTCGAGCAAGAGGGAAGAATTGCTAAAAAGAAAAAAGAAACAAGGAAGTGGTAATGAAGGCGAGTCCTCTGGCCCAGGAGAGATTTCAGTTGATGAAGCAGCCGAACAGGCAGCAGTGATGAGATCACAGATACATCTATTCTGGGGTAACATGCTTTTCGAGCGTTCTCAAGTTGAATGTAAACTAGGGTTGGATGGGTGGAAAAAGAACCTGGACAATGCTGTTGAACGGTTTAAGCTTGCTGGTGCTTCGGAGCCTGACATTTCAGGGGTTTTGAAGAACCATTGCTCTAATGATGATGCTGTCAAAGAAGATGAGAAGAAGATTGAGAACCTTAGCACTGATAAGGCTAATAATGCAGAAAATAAAGCTGAGCCAATTCTAGTATCAGAGGAATGAACTTCGTGTATTTGCACAGTACCTTCAATTGATTATCTTCGTATTTTCTCTTCATTGATGAGTTTTGATTGGAGAGAGGAGTTGCCTTTTCTTCTCAGTTCTCAGCAGAAGGTGTGGTTGTGGAAGTTTTTGTTTTCTCTTTTTAAATAGAAAGTTAGATACCAACACTGCACAACTGTGTACTCACCCAGAAGGTTTTGAGCCTATTTTTCCCTGGTCAATGTCAAGATGACATTATTTTTGCAGTACTGCTGAGTGTTTTATGAGCAATGTTAAATTATTAGGTTCTTCATATTGACCTTCACTTCTGCTCCAAGTGAGGTTCGGCTCTGTTTCTTTCCTGGGATTAATATGGTTGATTGTGTTCAATTTATTCGCAACTTCTTATTTAACTAAACTGATTCTCTAGTCACTACTAGAATTTAGTCAACATAGGATAGAACATGTCTCGAAGGTACTGATCTGAAGAAGATTTTAAAGTTTATTGATGAGGAAATTCTTATGATTTTTTTATTTTATTTTATAACTTTTTACACAGCTGTCAATTAAATCAGAGCAAAAAAAATTTTGCTCTACTATACTGGTCTTGTGTCTTGTGTGCTTAAAGTAACCTATTAAAGAAATTGAAGGATTGTTGTGTGGCAATTTCTTGGAAAACCTTGATGATGACCTGAAATGGAGAAAGTGAGGAAATTAATAGGACTATAATTATTCACCGTTTGTGGTTATTTTTAAGCACTCCCACATTATTGGAACGCAAGTTTGTGATGGAAATTATGTCTAATTATTTATTTATTTATTTTGTTGTGAGGGTTGGATTTGTTTGAATAATTTTCATTTTCACCGTAGTTCTCAACCTGATTCTGTTTTCACCGAAGTGATGTGTATGAAGGCTTAGTGGCCTGGACATGGTTTTGCTCTGTTTTCACCATCCTTCCACAATCACGAGACAAGAAATTTTGTGCTTTCAAAAATAAATAAATAAATGAGGAATAGTGTGCCTATAGTCGATTCTCTCCTGGGAAGAAATTGAATGGTCAAAATAGCCAGTTAGATTTGCCTTTATATGTATCATGTTTGAGATGGTTCCTCTCTGCATGCAAATGGAGTAGAAGTTTGTTAAGAGTAACTCTATAGTGCTTCAGTTGTGACTATATTCTCATCTTTAGAACTCTCTTGTATTTCTATGTAAGACATGGTGGGGGTGGAGGAGAAGTTGGTGGGGACAGTGGTGATGGTGGTAATATTATTGGCATTTCTTCCAATCATATGGCAAGAGGTAAAGGAAGGAGAGAGAGAGAGAGAGAGAGGTTATCCATCCTGTATCTCCCAGTTATCAAGTACCAAGAAGAGTAGAAGATTTTGGGCACATAGGACAGGTGATTGTAACTTCGACATGTCAATTATTGGCATAAGAGCCTAGAATAGAAGTTTCACAACTATGGAGGTGTGGAAGTCCTACACCATTTATTCATGGGTTTTCAATAGTATAGATTTAACATCACTTAATACAGAGGCCTTGCCTAGCTGTTTTGCAAGTGCTCCACCTTGAGAGGTTGGATTTCTTTGTGGTTGTTGAAGGTACAATGCAAGAGGTAAGCCATGTAAGGACGGATTAAAAACTAATTTATGTTGAAATTGATTTTGAAGGAGAGAATCATTTAGCATTGCCTTTTACACAACGCTATGAGCCTTTGTTTAGTTTTTGTTTTCCCAAAATTCCATACTCTAGTTTGAGTTTCATTTTGAGTGTCATGGGTAGTTTAGATTGAAAGAAATACCCAATTTTTTGAAGATAAAGCTAACTGCTTTTGAAACCTTGTGGATTTGTTTTTTGACTTCATTTTGGGTTTTGGTTGCTCCTCCTTTCAAAAGGATACCATTTTTTTTAATTTCTAGGGATTGGAAAGCTGTCCGTAGTTTGTGAACCCCCCCCCCCCCCCCCCCCCCCGGCAAAAAAAAAAAAAAAGTTAGTTAAACAGAGCAACACCTTATAGAAAGCAACAATGCAAAAACTAAGCAACAGAGATAGTGCAGATTTGGTGAATTCAACAACCAATTGGATAGTCTGAGGTGGCTATTTGCCCCTTCTTCCTAGGGTTCTTTGATTTCATACTTAGTGTATTTGTCCTCGGACTTTTTAAAGTTTTGGTGTAAATTCTCTCTTGGTATTGAAGACCACTGAGTTGCCTACAGAAAAGTTACGCACACACATTGCACTTTTGCCTGTTATTCTACACATTCCTTTTGAAGTAACTTACAGAAAGAAAGACATCTCACATCGAAAAGAAAAGTTGTAGTTACTTTATGCAATACAATACATCACGAACACCACCACAACCAAACACCCAATACTTAATGAACTCCAAGACAAGCTCTAAACTTAATCACACATCAGAAAATTAAAAAAAACTAGGCTAAACGAGTAGCTTTAATTATCTTAAAGTCTTGCTAATTGCCTTATTAGCCTCAGTGACCCGTAAACACACACACAAACACAGTTGACATTGAACTCAAACTGTTATGATTGGACCCAAGTTGATGGTACTTTCCACGGCCTTCATGGCTTCGAACCTTGGCTCCTTGGCCTGAAACTTCAGGCCAGCATAGAGCTTCATGTAGTCCTCGAACACGAATTTCGGATACACTTGCTTTTGCTCTTGTCCTTTCTCTACCAGTGCAGGTGCCGGATAGATGACAGCATCGCTGCCCGGATTGTAGAATGAGGCTAGCGACATTCTGTTTCTGTCTGACTGAGCAATCACACGGTGCATCACACTCTTGTACATGCCATTTGTGATTACCTGTACAAATACAATGACACACATAATTACTTTGTTAGAACCATGTTTTTGTCTTTTGGTTGTGTCTGCAATTTATAAGTTAGCTTATTTTTGTATTTAGTAGATTTTTTTTTTTTTTTTTTTAACTTCAAGTCAGATTTTTTTTTTTTTTTAACTTAAAGTCAGACTGTTTTACTCTTAAGGTCCGTTTAGACAAGACCATCTTAAATTTTTTTAAAAATTAGAACCTTTTTGGAAAGGTCCAGTAAAGACAAAAATCAGCCAACTTTTTAAGGCTTTTTTTTGGGGACAAAATCTAGCTTATTTTTGTCTTTAATGGATACTTTTCAATTTTGTTGTTTTTTATTTTTTATTTTAAAGACCGTAGTCCATACGGACTCAGAATAAAAAAATTTGATTAAAAATTGAAAAAAGTTCACTAAAACAAAGTTAACAAATGTTTCAAATGAAGATGACTAATGTTTTGGGTTATGTAGTACTGTTGTACCTCAAGTTGGTCACCTATGTTGATTACAATGGAGTGCTTCATCGGAGGGACATCGATCCATTCGCCATCCTTGAGCAGCTGGAGTCCGCTGACCTTGTCGTCTTGGAAGAGGAGGATGATTCCACCAGCGTCGGTGTGGGCTCGGAGGCCCTTGATCAGCTCCGGGTGGGGACACGGAGGGTAGTTGCTGACCTTGGTGCCAAAGGTTGGACCCTTGGAGCCATAGAAAGCCTTCTTGAGGTACCCTTTCTCTATCCCTAGATTCTCACATAACAAGTCTAAAAGCTGCTCTGCTAGTTCTTCTAGTTTCTTTGCAAATTCCTTCATTGTCATCCTGTTATCAATCAGAATTAAAACACGAATCAGCAATGCTAAGTACCTAGAAAAAATGCACAGAAAATGAAATGTGTTGACCGAATTCAGTTTGCATCTATACCATGCACTTCTGGCATGGCTGGTTGTGTTTTTGTTTCGTTTTTTATTTTTTATTTTTTATTTTTTTAATTTCATGTTTTCAAAAACAAATCAACGAAATGTTTAAAAACACTCACTGTTTCATTGTTGTGCAAAATCAAATTTTGAATATTTGAAAACAGCTTTTGAGTTTTTTTTTTTTTATAAAAGGGTTTATTTTTGGATTTTTTTTTTCTTTCTAAAAACAGTATTCAAAAAGAGTCTGCCCAACAAATTTGGCGTTTTCTAGAAAATGAAAACATAGAACACAAAATGAAAGTGTTTCGAATTTTTCTCGTTTTGTTTAAAAAACATGAAAAAACAAAAATAGTGTTCGGAAACATGATTTGATATAATTCGCCAAAACTAGAAAAGCGGACTTCTTTTTTTTTTGGTTGAAAATTTCTCCCAAAACAGTATTCAGAAACAATTCGCCAAAAAGTATGTGCTTTTCAGAATATGAAAACATAAAGCAAAAGAATGAAAACAGGAATGTTTCGAACTTTTCTTGTTTTGTTTTTAAACATATGAAAAACAAAAAACACAACTAAACTGGGCACTTTTGATGGGTTTGTAGCTTTTCCGAACAGGAAATATGTAAGCAAAGGAATACATAGAGTGACAAAACTGTGATTTTATGAAAACTAGTTCTACTAGCATGAGAGAGGGATTGAACTTGATTATGATGATGTTAATTCACCTGTAATCTTCTTCGAGATCGGGGATTTCGGAGATGTTAGAAGCAGGAAGATGGCGCAGGAAGAAGGTGCTTTCCCAGTCTAAATCATCGATTTCAGACTGAGCAGCCTCTAAACCCTTGCTTGCCACCATTTCTTTGAACCTCTGTTCCATGCACTTCTTGTAGTGATCCTTTGTTAGCCTCTCCACACTGTCCATAAGCTCATGGGATATACCATGATTCATCAACTTAAAAATATACCCAAAAAAGAAAAAGAAAAAAAGTTAGTTAAAACTTTCCAAATATAGTTAACAACTGCTTCAAATATCACACAATTAGATATTGGGTTTGTCTCCTCTCACAACTGGACTCCAGTTAACTAGACAGAAGCCGTGTGTTTATATACATATTAGTGAGAGAGAGAGAGAGGGAGAGAGAGAGAGTTCTGTATAGTAGATAGTAGCTATTGATTTAGTGATTTTACTTTTTGATTCTTATAGTTACTATTAGAGACGATAAATATTAGAGGAAAATATAATATTGTTGTGGGTTCTTGTGGGAATCAAATTTTCGTTTACCTCAAAAAAGCCCCAGTTCTCACAAGCATCTTTGATCATCTCCATAGTAGTTGCTCTCTCTTCACCATTAAGTTTCTCCATGTAAATGACTGGGAAAGCCTCCATTCTTTCTCTCTCTCTCTCTCTCTCCAGTTCTAGTATGTCAAAGTCTTTGTACCTCTATATGTTGAGTGAGGGGTCTGGGGTGCAATTTATAGGCCTCTAAGAAGTGAGATAGTGGGATAAGGGTTAGTGGGTGGGGGGGATTACATTAGAAAAAAGAAAAAAGACGAGAAAAGTTATTACCAAAATGTAAGTAAAAAAGAAGAAAGAAAAGGAAAGAAAAGAAAAGAAGACAGGACTTGTGCAGCATGTATGTCATCACATCCTGATGGATCCCACCATTATTGGCTCAGTCTAAAGAGCCATGCATGGTTTATTTGCATAAAATTATGATGCTTTCGAAATATAATTAATGTTATTTTTTATTAATAAAAAATTATAGTACATACCCTTCTTAACAAATTACCTAGTTAATAAACGTGAGTCAAAATATTTTATTTATAAAATTTAGTGATAAAATAATTTTAGGATGAATTGTAAATTTAAACATTCATTCGATCTTTTATTGATACACTTGATTTACAGAGCTTTCGAATGAATTGTAAATCTTAACGTTAAATCATTCATTATTGATATACGTAATTTACAGATAATTATGAGCATCTAGGATTTAGTGATGATTACGATTACTTCCAAACATTTGTTAAATCTTTATTAATATATGCGCTTTAGAGATGATTACAAATAATTCTCAAAGAAAATTAATTATATTACGAACACAAGAATCAAATATAGAATGAAATACATAATAATTTAAAATGAAACACATAATACACATGAGCATAGAAATTTTTATAAAAGTTGTTGGCAATACCCAATGTTAAAAATTTCATATGTATATCATGTCTAATTTTGCGATCGATTTCTGTATTTGTGAACTTATTCCAAAAGAGTGGGCCCTAGTTGAGTGGTTAGCTCATATTCCGTTGCTTTCTCGGGGCTTGACCTACTTGGTGGCTACTTTTTTGGCATGCACGAGCTATTTCTTTTAAACTTGATTGGGTGACAATGACATCTCTATGACGTTGTTTTATCACGGGCCTTTGATATTTTTAAAGATTTACTTATTTATTTAAATTTTTTTTAAAAGCAATATTTGATATGCCTTTATGATATTAGATTCTTTAATTTTAATGAAACCTTGGATGGAAAGGTTTAAGTCGGCCAAATCCACTGAGAAAATCCAAAAGTACAGAATAATTAGTTGCTAATCCCTGCCGACAGACTTAGCATACATTAATCTGCTGCAAGAGAAGATTAATAAAAGTAATCTTCAATTGACAATTAGAATGAAAATTTTAGTTCATTTATGGTGAAATTATTGATAACTTTCTTTTATTTCTATTTATTATTGGAGGAGCTACTTCAATTTGTGTCTAATTCAACTCAATGTGCTAAAATCTATTGGTTAAATTGTCGAGTTTTGGGTGTTCGATAATATCAAATAGAGATACTATCAACAATATTATCACATTTTGTATATTATGCAATATGTTACTATTGTATATCATGCAATATGTTACTATCAACAATATTATCACATTTTAAATTATTTATTTTGTAAGCCTTTTGTGTATAGTATTCACACAAAAAATTAAATTGATCTGATAATCTTAATCTATTTAATTTATTACTTTTATCTAAAAAAATAGACGATAATAAAAAAAATAAATAAATAAAGAAAGTGAGTGGCTTTTGAGGTAAAGAAGATGACATATTAATTGCATCTAGTCTAGATGAGTTGCTCATCTTTTACTGTTCCCTCACCTCACCTTTATTTTTTTTATTTATTAATATATATATATATATATATTTGAATGCCTTTGTCTTTGTTTTTATTATACTTATGGTAATGACATGAGATTCCTGCACCCATGAGATGAGATGAGATCAGAGAGCAACAAAACAATGGTACTGTTGGTAGAGTTGTGAGAAAGTACTTATAACTTATGCCTAAACAACTTATAGCTTATAATTATGAACATAAACTGATTTCTGACTTAAAAATTAAGCATCTCTTGCCCCACTCAAAGAATAAACTGATTTCTGACTTCTAAAAAGTTATAAGTTATAAACTATAAGCTAAACCAAACACATTAAAATAATTTAAATTAAACTGAAAGCTGAAATAAATAGTCTTTAAACTGCACCAAACAGGCACAATGCAAAAGCCGAAAAGGACCCATCAACACCACCCCCACTGAACCAAAAAGAATGGGCTAGTGTTATTGCATTGTGAATTATGAAAATAACCCTTCAATCTTTTTTCTGATCTATAAAGATTTTTTTTAATTAAAGAAAAGACAATTCTGTTTAAATTATATGGTTAATTTTTATGATCTACGAATAGGTATTTATAAAATGAAATATTTAGATCGATGAGGTGGGATTTGTGATAGGATTCACGTGCCCAACTGGATAGAATCAAACTTATGAAGTTAGATTCAACTTACTCATTGAATTGAGGTGACACTAAAAAAATTGTAATATTTAAAATGAATTTACCAAAACAATATGATTATTGTCACGTGAGTAAGTAAGAAAATTTGTGAGATCTATTCAGTGTGTTTGGTTTAAATTTTTTAGATTAAATTTTTTGAAAATTAAATTTTTTGATTTTCGTGTTTTTTGATTTTTTATTTTTAGTGAATATTTTTTAAATTCTAAAATTTTTTTTTTTACTTTTTTAAATGCATCTTACTTAAATGTATTTAAAAAGTAAAAAATTTGTGAAAAAATATTTAAAAAAATTAATAAATACATAAAAACATAAAAAATGCATTGAATTCTCGTAATTTTTTGTATTTTTGGTATTTAAAAAAAATTCACAAATTTTTTACTTTTTAGGTATATTTATGTTAGGTATGTTTAAAAAGTAAAAAAAAATTGTTTAAAATATTAAAAAAATTCAATAAAAATAAAAAAAATACGAAAAATAAGAAAGTAATATTTTCTTAAACGTATTTTAAAAAAAAGTGTAATCAAGCAAGCTTATTAATTTCATATATTATTATTATTATCTTTTTCTTTTGTTGTACGATGCATTTGATAGAATGACATAAAGCACATGGAAAATAGGGGAAAAGAGAAAGAAATATTTATGTTAGGTATGTCTAAAAAGTAAAAAAAAAAAAATTGCTTAAAATATTAAAAAAATTTAATAAAAATAAAAAAATATAAAAAATAAAAAAGTAAAATTTTTTGAAAAATATTTTTAAAAAAGTGTAATTAAGCAAGCTTATTAATTTCGTATATTATTATTATCATCTTTTTCTTTTGTTGTACGATGCATTTGATAGAATGACATAAAGCACATGTAAAATAGGGGAAAAGAGAAAGAAGTACTTGTTGACCACTCACGATATGAGTTCGGGAAAAAATAAAAAATAAAATTGTGTATGACAAATGTAATTATGATAAATATTTATTATTTAATATGATTTTCACCAATTAAGTAATTATAATTTTAATTAGTTTAACAAAGTAGACTATTTCTTTTTCTTCTTCTTCTTCTTTTATTTTTATTTTTTTAAATATGTAGTTACCAATAGATTTTTAACAAAAGGTTTGGATTAAATATTTTGAGGTCATTAAATTTTGAAGAATAATTCTTGTATAAAAGTGAATTTCAAAATTTTTAGCGAACATCAAATTTAATTTTGGAAAAAATACATAAGGTATAATAATTTTCGCAGTGTTGCACTAGTGTGAAAAAATTGGAGTTTACTTGGGAGTAGTTGAACAAGAAAAGAATGTATTTTTGATAGGGGTGCAACTTAGGCAAGTTCAACTTGAGCAATCTGAACCCAGTCTGAATTTTTTTAGGGTTTGGACAAAATATTTTCAAATTTAGTATGAGTTTGAGCAAAAATTTAGAAGTTCAAATTAAATTTAGGCGGGCTTGGGTAAAGATATCAAATAAATCGAGCAATCCGAAATCTGAATTATACATATATATATATATATCACATAAATTATTAGTCATTATATGATATTAAAGTAATTTAGATCATTAAATCATATTGAATATATATTATATAACATAAAATCTTACTTTTTTTTATTCACTCATAAATTGTAAAGACTACTATAACGGTATTTCTCTTACATTATATAAATTATTTATTTTGATGGTATTAATGATTTTTTATTAAAAAAAATATAAATAGAGTCATATTTTAATAAGTTAATAATGTAGCTGCAAAAAAAATATATAAAAAAAAATGAAATTCATTTACAATTCGGACAACTCGGGCAATTCTAGTTTAACTGGGGTCGGGTTTGGGTAGGTAACCTCAGGTTACAATTCGGACCTGGACGGGCTTGGGCAGGTTTCTACACAACTTAGACTGAGCTTGGACAACCTCTTAATTCGTCCGAACCTGCCCGAATTGCACTCCTAGCTGATAGTAACCTCAGCTGAAAATGTAAAGATTTTTGCCCAAGATCGACCTAAGTCTAAATTTATGTTAAAAAATTTAGGGTAAATTACACGTACACCCCATGAGGTTTATGTTTATTACAGTTTTCCCCTCACCTTTTGAAAATTACATCTCCCCCTGAGGTTTAAAGTTTCATTACGGATTCCCCCATTTAGCTATTTAATGTTTTTAAATACCAATTTTGCCTCATTGGGTAAATTACATTGACACCCCTCGCATTTTAAAAATTACAATCCCCTCCCTAAGGTTTAAAGTAGCATAACCAATTGCCCCCTCGGTTAGTATTAGTTGGAAAAAAAATTCATTGAAAAAAAAAATTAATTGAAATTTTTTTTTGTTAGTAATAAAACAAAAAATACAAAAATAAATTAATTTTCTAAAAATGAATCTTGAGTTTTGAAATTAAACAAAATGATTTTATTCTTTTTTTCTTTTTCCTTCAGTTTCTCACTATTATTTCACTTTTGAGTTCACTTATTCTCATATTTTTTATATTTTTTTTAAAAATAATTTAAAAATTAATTTTTAACCACTCTTTTTAAATAGTCAAATCCTTCAGCTCATCCGAATTAGTTGATGTTTGTGGCTCACACAACTGATGAGGATTGAATCTCCATACTTGGGGGTAGGAAT